AATCTAGCCAGCAAGTTTGACATTTTTATTAAAAATAAATTGATATGAAAATTATTTACAAATACCTTTTATATCAATGAATTTTTTTCAATTTAAGTATTCACTTTAACTTATAAATTTTATCTAAATAAATGTACAATCATTTCAACATAAATAATAGCACTGTACCTTATAAAAAATTGAAAAAGGACTATAAGGAAAATCAAATGCATCAGCCATTATTTAATATAATTTTATAAAGAATATAGCATATTTTTATATTTTTAACACAATAACATAATTATGGTTAGATCATTTTTTAAGTATTTTATTTAAATTATGTTGAAGTCATAAAAAAAAATCCCCAGCCAATAGTTGGAGGGGGGAAATTGACAATTTAAAAATGAAAAAAATGTTTGTCATTTTAAATAACACAAAGTTATATCATTTTAAGAGAGATAGACACAAAATATTTTTTTTTAAATTTAAATTAAAAAAAAGCACTCACTTTTTCTCTTCCATAATTTTTATTTTTTGTATCTATCTTTCTCCTAAAATGACATAACTTATGTCATTTAAAAGGACAAACAACGAACCCTTTAAAAATATGACACTTTAGTTCAAGGTAATTGAAGAAATGATGAACTTTAAAATAATAAAAGAGAATGAGAATAAATAAAAGAGTGTGACAATAACCACACCTAATAAATGTTGAAAGATTTAAATTAATTTTTTTAATAAAAAATAACACGAAACAGTAGCTGTGGGTCTCACTATTAAATTGGGGTGTTATACAATGGTATAGGAATATACTCAGCATACCTAATTAATGAAAAGAATTTGGCTAATATACATGGAGACAGAGTGTATTAGACAAAGAGAACCATGATTAATAGACCTAGAAATAGTTTTTAATTAAATGAGGAACTTAACTCACGAAGTAATTAATTAATTAAACAAAAGAAATTTATTATGAGTCAAGTGAAAATGGTGGGTGAAGGGAGGAGTACCTAGATCCTAATTTTTTCTTAATTTATCGCTTCTATAGTTCTTTGTGATTTAATTTATGAGAAATCAAAGTCTAAAATTAATTTTTTTTCTGCTCTCACCGTAAAAAGTCGTGCATTTCTTTTTTCTTTTTATAAATTTAGGTGGGATCCAGTATTTTTTTCTCAGCTAGAGAGAAATGGTATTTTGCACTGCTGCATGAGAGTCATTAATCTCTTAATTTATTCCTATAATATAATGGAAAAAACTATTCTCATGTTACATGAGATAATTTTTTTTTCCTACACACCTTTCGATAATTGTGTCACTTTTTTTTTTTTTTAAGTGATAGAACTCACAAATTTATCTCTATAATATAAGATAACTTATTTCTTTTAAGATGGTATTAATAAAATCCTACTACAATTGCTTGATAGATAGCAATGTTTCTCAATCAATACCTCAGAAAACGACACTCGTCACTCATCAAAGAGAACATATAGAGGAGAAATGAGGAGGAAAGGAAGCGTACGCAATGTTATTCTCAAATTGTTGGCAAATGTTCTACCCAAAAATTTTGTAACTATTAAAAAATGTATACCCAATTATTCCGCTGAATTTTTTTTCCAGTGGTTCCAATTCGTAGCAGAAATCTGCTGGAATTTTAATTGAATTATACGCATTGGTTATACAATTTGTCGCTGTATTTTTTCGTCAAAAAAATTCCGACAGGTTTATTATCAGTAATTATATTTATTTTTAAAAATCAATAATTTAATTATTTTCGGGCAGATATTTTACCTGAAATTCTCTTCCTTTTTTAATCAATATAGGTAATTTTTTTCCTTTGTGATGTATAGTGTAATTTTGTTTTGTAGTGTAAAATTTTTTATTACTACTAATTCTAAGTTGTTTCGTGAATAGAAATTTTTATTTTTATTCTAATTTTTTAATTTTTTTTAATAATTAATCAATTAATCCAATTGAGTGGGCACACGGTTTTAGCAGTTTATTTGGGCACAACCTTTTTATCATGTGTGTCACGTCTAAAATTAAACAAACAACTTTTCAGCTTGTGAAATTTACTATCAAACTATTTTCTAATAATATTAAAGGAAAATTATCTAATGTTATTTTAGATAATTTTATTTCATGTTCACCGAAATGATGTTGTTTTGAGTTAAAAAATTAAAAAATTATAATGATAAAGATTATTATAATTCTGAAATAATTAAAATTATAAACACGTCATGATTTTCATTTTAAAACGACGTTGTTTCGGTGAATATTAGACAAAATTATCTAAAATAATTTTAGAAAAAACAAACCCATTAGTGATTGAAGGTATTTGAGGAAATCATTAATTTTTTTTTTTTTTGAGACATTTCAATCGATTTAATATTTCGCGACTAATTTGATTCGAGTCAGTGGCGGACCCAGAAAAAAAAATTTATGTGTGCACACTTAAGTTGGGGGTTTGGGAGCAGCGCCCCCGAAGATTTTATTTTAAGAAAAATTTAAATGTATTAATTGTAAGGATTAATTGATCAAAAACTAACCTCTATCAATGTCTATTTGATCCAAAGTTGACCACTTTTGCTTCATCAAAAAACGTGAAAAACCCCATGCGATTCCCATCCACTTGATGAAGATTGAATTTCAGGAATCATTGATATCCATTAAGGTTTGGAGCTAATAAGGTTTATGTTTCAAAAAAAGAAGAAGAGACAAAGCAATGTGGTAGGATTTAAGATTGAAGCTTTTAATTATATGGGTTGGTTGGGTTGGGCTTGGGCCTATTTTTACTTTTTACTTTTCAATTTTCCTAATTTTTTTTTTACTTGACCTAAATCACTCATCCCTTTAAAAAAAAAATTCTTTAATTTTTGTGTCTGCATGTGCAGACACAGCCAACAACACCGGTCCGCGGATAATTTGAGCGGATTTCAGAATTAAGACTTTAAATGTCTTCCAAAAATAACACTAAAAAAGATTAAATATATACTCTTACTTCGCCTCGTTTAGTTTTTTGATACTAACTGAGATATCGTTTTCATTCCTCAATCCGAAACAGTTTTGAAAGCCATAAAGAATGACAATAATTTTGGTATCCATAGGACTTTCAATATAATATATCCCATACTGTTGTATTTTGTTGTTAACTCCTCTTTATTATGTACCAATGTTGTGTGTTTTTGGCTTTAAATACTTTTTTCATGGAATTTACTAACAGGATAAAACTTCATGCTTGTATCTAGTTCATATCTTAAATAATAGAATCAGATCCTCTCCAATAATACATAAGAATAAAAAGTTTATTTAATTTTAATTTTAATTTTAATAACTACAATTATATTTAAATGAATTACTCTTTAATAAAATACTGAAAATATTATTACCATGTTAATACTCAAAATAGTAAAATTCTCAAAATTTGGAACTGAACCGGAAGAAGTGATGTCTAATCTATAAAGAAGAAAGAAAAGCAGAAACCACGGTGAAACAACAACTACAACGTACGGTTAGTTACACCGCATTGAAAGCAAAATTTCCTTAGTGGTTCAAATCATGGGGAAGTCCAACAAGGAGATGGGGACCACTCAATTTCCCATCCCTGTGAAAGTGTTCATTGTTTAATGTCCTATGAACAAATGAATAAATCAATCTTGAACAGAGGGAGTGTGCCAGAGCTTTGACATGGACCCAACCCCATCATTGTCCGCTTTAAACAACCACAAAGGTCCATTAATAAAAACACTGTACCATTCCTACCACCCTACCCATATTATCATCAAGTACCCACTCATCACTAAACCTAAGGTTCATTCATAGTTACTACCTATATCATATGCAATCCTCTAAACTTCACTTTCACCTTATTAAAGTCATAAATAAATGTCTTGTCTCCGAAATCAAAAGGTTGAAATGCCAAAGCCTTAATACAAAACGGACCATATTGATACCTTTTTTAAAATAAAATACTCAAATATTGTTTAAGGCAATATTAAGTTCAATTAAAAGATCGAAAGTGTATTTACACAAAAAAGAAAGAAAGATCGAAAGTGTAAAAAAACTCTTGCTGTCATGTCTATAAAACACAGCAGACTTAAAGACTACGGTTAGAGAATAATATAAAAGCATTAAAAAAGTTATCATCTAATATAGGTCACAAGTTCGATCTTTACCGTCCTCACTTTCAGTGGAATTAAGAAAAGCACAAACTAAAAAAATGGGCTAGTGCAGCACAAGACAGATCAATAATGAGCTTGTGCCGTATCCACGCTTCAAGTTCAAAAAACTCTTGCACGAGGGAATATGTTAAAAAATAATATAAAAATATTTAAAAGATCATCACCTTAAGTATTAGGTTGAAGTGGTTCTTTACGCCTTGTAAGGGGAATTTTTTTTTGTAACATTTGCACATGGTGGTTCTTGTCCAGCTTACTTTGAAAACTCAACTTGTCCTTACATGGTACCAGAAGAAGCCAACCTTCAGCTGAAAGCAACCCACATTTTTTGCTATTAGCAGCAAAATGGTACCCTATGCACAAATTCAAATCAACAAGGACATGGAGGATTGGATAAGGGAACAAGTCGAATTGGTTACATATTGAGCAGTACTACTCGTACTTCAAAGTTAATTATACTTTAATAGTGAAAGGCAATAATAAGTTCAATTATGTAGTACAAAATAATTGTGCACCAAAATTCTCTTCGTAACAACTCTCACTAGCGTGTATGCGGCTCCACATATGTACAATTGTGCAGTTCTGTGATTACAAAAGTTGTTTAATTAGAGACATGGGCATGGCTGGTTTTATATTCCATTTGTAGTGGGACCCTCCTAGACTTTGAGAAATTTTGTTTTATGATTAAAAGTGAGCTGAAGTAGCTATGTGAAGATAATTACCTTATTGGACAATTAACAAATTGAAAAGACAGTAGTCACCTTATGTTTAGAACAAAATACAAAAGAGAAAATACAGGTTGTTGTAACACCTAAAAAGTTATAGCCTAAGTTGAGCTCTTCTTGATTAAATATAAGTATTTAAGAATAGAACCATCATCAATATTTCTTGCAGAAAAGTCCACCAGAAGCCATTAGCAGCATAGCTCAGAAATCCCAAAGAGGCTATGGAATGGGAAGTCTTATTCACATCCCCATTTTTTGTGTTAGATTCTAGGAATTTGATCTCTTGCTGGCATGGTTTTACCCCATATGGAGCATGACTTGTTGACATTACTCCAACTGGGTAGCAAAGGTTGGGGTTGCTCCATGCCCCAAAACGCCTTCCCATTTTTCCATAAAACTCCTTGGAGAATTTGAGCTCCCCTGTCAGATTGTTTGCACTAACATAGAGTGCACTGAGACAAGGAAGAGTTGATAGTTTTGGTGAAAGGTTGCCTGTGAGGTTGTTGTCACTAAGTCCCAAAAATCTCAACCTCTTCAATTCTGATATAGACTCAGGAATTTCCCCCTTCAACCCCACGTTAGAGAGATCCAAAATTACCAAGTTTTGAAGGTTTTCCCACTTTAGGTTCCTGATATTTCCACCTATTGCATTGTTGGATAAAACCATTTCTTCTAAAGAATACATCTCTTGAAAACTCAAGGTCAACCCACCAGAGAATCTGTTATTCCTAAGGTCCATAAGGGTCAGATTCTTAAGAAAAGCAAATTCTTTCAGCAGATTCCCCTCCAAATGGTTATGGCTCACATCAAACTTCAGAAGGGAAGTTAAGCTTCCAAGAGTCAAAGGCAAAGTCCCAGACAATGAATTTCTACTTAAATCAAAGATTAATAACTCACTTAATGCACTTAAAACATCTGGAATCTTCCCAGTAAAATAGTTTCCTGCAAGAACAAGCCTCTTCAACTTGTTGAGGTTGCCAATATCTGGTGGAATCTCACCTGTCAAACCATTCTCTAATAATACTAGTGACTGAAGTTTCTTGAGGACTCCAAAACTTGAAGGAATTTTTCCAATGAGACCTGTGTTTGATCTAAACTCAAGTGATTCTAAGCTGCCAGCCAGTTTTTCCCAGTTTCCATTGGGGATAGTAACTTGATTCCTGTGTTGTGATTCAAAGCATTTGAAAAAGGACAGAGCTTTAAGGTGCTTGAGCTCAAACAACTGTGGTCTAAATTCCAAAATTTTGGCACAACTTAGAGAATTTTCATGAATGGGCCCAAGGTTCAAGTCAGTAACATACCAAAACCCATTAAACAGATCACAAGAGACCCCCTGCGGCATTAAACAACACAAATTATAATTAAGCAAAAAAATTGAACACCACAATATTCTGTGAAGTTTATAACTTGGTTGAATTGCAAAAGTGTTCTGATTACATGGCTTAATAAGCAATGAATATACTGGCTACTGCATGTAATCTTTTACTGAGACTATTAAAACTATGAAAAGGGGCAAAAGTAGTGAGAAACAATTAATTGTCATACTTTGAAAGGTATCATTGTGTGACAGAAGCTTGAAATAAGAATAGTTTTTGGATTAAGTGTAGAATTGACACAATTAAGCCAAGCAATTTTATTTATTTTTCCTTTGGCTTGCAGCAGAATGGACAAAAGCTGAAGTTCACTTGAGAATTCATTACTGAAAATTTTCAAAGCCTCATTTGTGGACATAAAAATGATTACCCTTAAATCTTTAAGGAAAAAGAAAAAGAAAATTGAAATGTATGGTCCCATAACTTTAACCAGAAATAAATTAAAATGTCCAACCTTATCCCCAGCACAGTATAAAGGTAGTTTCTTGGAAACTTTGCAGTATGGTATCCAATTATGGAGATGGATTTAAGTACCTGAATAGGAGTCCAACCACAAGGATCTGGATAGAGATCTGAGCCATTCCACCCATCACCAACAAAGCCTTGAATGGTGGAGTATAAAGCATCCTGCTCTATTTTCTCCATTGGAGCTATGTCAAGGTCTACTTGAGCATAGCACCTTGCACTCAGTAAGACAATGAAGAAAGCAATCATGCCTTGACTAAAAACCTTGAAGCTGTTCATGAGGCTATTAAGTCAAAACAGGACTATCAGGGACAAGAAGAACTCAAGATGGATGAAGAAAAATTGATAAAAACAAACACAAAACAGGAGCTTCTTGGCTTGAACTCTAGTGCATAATATGGGCAATGACTCACTTTTTACACACAGACAACATTCAACTAAATTACAAGAAAAGGCATAGACAGAGAAGAAGGAAGAACAGGGGACTTACTCCCTCAACAATGAAGTGGATATCAAGACAAATACCAAGATGGGGTCCCTACAGAAAATTACTGATATTTTGGAGAAACAAATAGAACAGGTACTAGTAACAGTGAAAGGAAGAACAAGGTCCTAAAATTGTGTTCACACACTGAATAGGAAAAGGGGAATAGTAGAGGAAACACAAAGGCATAACAAGAAACCTGACCTCTTTCCTTCCTTGTGTTTATGGAAAAGCTAAGGAAAGTATATAGCAGAGAGAACACAAAATGTTAGCACAGTTCTCGAAGTTCAAAGTCATAATTGTAATGAGTCTAATAAGGCCAGAGCTGTAGTAACTGAGAGGCCTATATAAGATGAAAGCGAAAGCTGGTATGCAAATTGAACTCTTTTTTATTCTCCCATTGAACATCACATTACTATTAATGTTATTATTATTATTATTATATGTAAATCACGTCATTATTGTTATTATTTGAGAAAATCATGGTGTTAGATGATTAATTTCTTAGTCACAAATTTAAGTAGGCCATCAAAGGGTTTTATTGTTGAAGGGAATTATGGAAGGCTAAATTGTGAGGCATTTCTTTGGGGAGTTTTAGGTTTGGTAGGGATGAAGATTGTGGTGAGTAATAGTAGGGGACCATTATCCATGCAAGAAAAATGAAAAGGTACATGTAAACGCATGCAAGACAAACTAGGCTTTTATCTGTTAATGCTGTAGCTGCCTTGTTTTGTGCTGTGACCTGGTGGGTTTTTAACAGCCCTCTGAAACTGCAGGTAAAAAAAGGACAAAAGAGCAGAGTGGCTTTGAAAAGTGAAGTTAACCATATTGCTTGATTGAGTTTTGGTCGATTTGGAAAATATTTGCACCAAAAAACAATCCTAGAGTCTTTTGGTTGATCCTCCAAAATTTGTAACTGGGGACATGAATTCGTGTCTCAACCAAAGAAGAAAATTGGAAAGAATAGGGTGATTAATTCAGTGCTTGCAATGCTTTTTCTGCAAAATATATATATATATATATATATATATATATATATATATATATATATATAGGGTTTAGTGTGTGTCATTTAAAAGGACACAAATAGTGTCCTTTCAGTGATTTACACAAAGTACGACTGGTCCTACTTTGTGTAAATCTGAAAAGTTATTTTTTTTCACTTTACACGTCAGCGATGTGACTGAGGAGAAAAAAAAGTAACTTTTTAGATTTACACAAAGTATGACCGGTCATACTTTGTGTAAATCACCTAAAAGAACACAAGCTTATGTCATTTAAAAGAATACTTCTTTTCCCCATATATGTGTGTGTGTGTGTGACTACAGATGAAAATTTTGCAACAACACATAAAAAAAAGATATGCCGGTGGATCCTAATTTTATATATTTTTTTAAGAACATGTGGGTCTCACTTTTTCTATGTCTGCTGCACTAGAAAAAGTGGTGTAGTGATAGCAGACAAAAAGCATATATATATATATATATATATATATATATATATATATATATATATATATATAGGGTTTAAAGGATCTCCTGTTGCAGCAAAATTCCTCCTCTTCTGCCATAGAAACAAAATTTTAGGACCCACAACATTTTAGAAAAACAAAATAAAAATAAAATTTTTGGCACGGATTTCGAACTGTCTGCTGCAAGCTATCCTCTTGTGCAGCCGCATAAGAAGCTATTTGCCCATATATATATATATATATATATATATATATATATATATATATATATATAGGATAATATTTCTCTCAAGTTAGGTAAGAGAGAAATTTTTTCTAGCATACTCAACAAATTGCGAAACCCACTAAGAGAGAGAAAAAAAGCAGCAGCTCAATTATCGATGTGACTATGTGAGTGCACGAAAAAATTTCTATATTATGCCACTTGAGATATTACCCATATATATATGGGATCTTTTGACTACAGTATATGAATAAAAAGTATTAGTGTCTATTTTAACCATTGATCTCTGATTCCCTATGCATCTCACGACTAAATAATTTATTGATAAATCACAGTCATCAAATCAAAGAGATTAGAGACTCAGATGACGAGTAAGACTTCTTATTTTTACATCGTCATCAAAATATCCTTCCCCAAGTGTATTTTCCTTTTATATTATTGTGAACTAAAGAATTTGACGGAACAATGACCAATATATCACGCTTTTTGCAATTATTAACCTAACTGCCACTCAAATAGTAAATTTTACCAAAGTGCCACGTGTTCAAGTTCGCAACAGCAGGTAGCGAACTTTGTTTGCTGATGTGGCATGTTTATGGTGGTCACCTAATTCGCTACTGCTAATAGCGGACTAGGTTGTTATTGAATGTCAGTATGCTCTGAGTAAAAGCAGGACACATGTCAACCATCGGTCAATGTTCGCTTTGGGACGTAACGAACTATGAGAGAGAAATTCAAAAAATTGAAACACCCTGACACATGTCCTATCTTCTCTATTTACACTCTAACGCTACTTTGCAGTTTAGAAAATAAAACCACATTGAGAACATCAATAATCCCTGACACTATGTGAGTGCACGGAAATTTTTCTATATTATGCCACTTGAGAGATATATTACCCATATATATATATATACATATGAGGTAGGATCCTTTGACACCGGTGTCAAATTTGAAGTTTGACACCTCATCTGAGAGTCCTTAGATCAAAAAATATCAATGTCGTCACATGCTTACAAATCAGAGTCGTTGATCTTTTTTGATCTGGCTCTTAGATGAGGTGTCAAACTTTAAATTTGACACCGGTGTCAAAGGATCCTGCCTCTATATATATATATATATATATATATATATATATATATGGGATCTTTTGACTAGAGTAAAAGAATAAAAAGTATTAGTGTCTATTTTAACCATTGATCTCTGATTCCCTATGCATCTCACGACTAAATAATTTATTGATAAATCACATTCATCAAATCAAAGAGATTAGAGACTCAGATGACGTGTAAGACTTCTTATTTTTTTCATCGTAATCAAAATATCCTTCCCCAAGTGTATTTTCCTTTTATATTATTGTGAACTAAAGAATTTGACGGAACAATGACCAATATATCACGCTCTTTGCAATTATTAACCTAACTGTCACTCGAACAGTAAATTTTACCAAAGTGCCACGTGTACAAGTTCGCTACAGCAGGTAACGAACTTTGATTGCTGATGTGGCATGTTTATGGTGGTCACCTAATTCGCTATTGCTAATAGCGGACTAGGTGGTCAAAATGTCAGTATGCTGTGAGTAAAAGCAGGACACGTGTCAACCATTGGTCAATGTTCGCTTTGGGACGTAGCGAACTATGAGAGAGAAATTCAAAAAACCGAAATCTATCTACAAGTCTTTGTGCATAATTAGGTAAAATTATTTGTCTATATTTGGTAGGAGATGAAGTAAAAATATAGTTGAGAAATTTTTTTCTCCATCATTTGCTTTTCTATATAAAATGGTTGAGGAAGATTACCATTGAAGGAGTGGAATTATTTTTTTCCATGTGGTGGGAAAATTAACACACGATATCAGTAAAATTAACCTAATATTTTCGGAAAAATTTTGGCCTACCAAACACCTTTTTGTACGGGTGTTCGTGGTCTGGATGGGATCGGTTTTGGAAGCAAAAATTATCCGATCCAACCGTTTCGGTTTGATCATATGATCATCCATTCGGTTTGAATTTTTTTTCAAATCCGATCCGATCCAATACAATTTTTTTCGGTTCGGATTGGATCGGTTTTCGAATTTTTGAAAATCCTAAAATTTGTTTCATGATTATTGTGCAAATAACATTTTTTATATATATTTACTTTGTAATTTTTTTTTAAATACAAAAGCATCAGTGAACGATAATATAGTTTTTTTTTTGCAATGAGATATGAAGCTATACACAGATGAAATTTTATTGATGAGATGTAACTAGGTTTTCTTGGGTTTAGTTGATGGGTTAATGGGTCTTAGGTTTAAAAATTTTTGGGCTATGATTGGAAAAAGACCCAAGTAGGTAGAGGAGAATTAATATATTGGATCGGTTTGGATTGGATCAATTTTTATCAACCAATCCGAAAACTGATCCAATCCAATTAAAATTTGCGGTTTTTTTTTTGGTTTTCGGTTTTTCGATTTTCGATTTTTCGATTTTCAGTTTATTCGGTTATCGGTTTTTTGTTTCGGCCACCGCGGTTTGAATCGGTTGATGAACACCCCTACATTTTAGTAACTTACCATGAAAAAAAAATCCCATTATATTTTTGGAAATTATTTTGTCCCGATAATTTTTTTTTCTCTTCTACCAAACGCTCCATGCAAATAATGGGATAAAAAAGAAGAGAAAGAGCTAATAGATAAAAAAATGTAAAAAATAAATAATAATTTAGGATTTATCGTTTCTCAATTAATATGAGATTAAGTTATCTTCATCAACTCTTAAACTACATTGTTTTGGGAATTGAGATAAATTAATGAAAGGTGTTTTAGTAAAATTCATAGGGATATGATATTGTAACAACCAATCAGTGTTACTACCAATCAATTTCACCGTTAGATCGATTATGTTGATCCAACGATTATATTTATTTTCATATGTGTGTGGTTATGATTTTCCATATTTAATGTTTTGCATTAGATATAGGAAATCATAACCATACAAATGTGGAAATAAATATAAAATATTAAATATAGAGAATCATAACCATACTAAGATGAAAAAAATATAATTGTTAGGTCAACATAATCGATTTAACAATAAAATTGATTGGTAATAACACTAATTGATTGTTACAATATCCTTCCCCAAATTCATATAACAATAAACAAATCAAAATTTCTAAAATACCCTTAATTAATTCCCTCAATTCTCGAAACGATATAGTTTTGAAATTGATGAAGCTAAATTTATCCCTTATTAATAGAGAAACGATAAACCCAATAATTTATAAATCCAATAATTTATTATAAGAATAATTCTCCCATACACTAACACACATTAGAAAACAGAGGAAAGAAAAAATTTATGTGTGTATGAAATTTTTTTTCACCAGTGAGAGTCTATTTCCCCTTTATTATAATGATAAGATACCCAAGTGTTACGTTATTATTGAAGTAGTATAACAGTCTTACAATTATTATAGGAATCGGGTGAAAAGGATAACACAAAGCTTAGGAATCGTAGCCCAAGCGACGACGACCTAACTGTTTTTCTCTTTAGGGCCTAACATAGGTTGACCGGTCTCTTTCTTCCCTACGTTTTCTCTGGTTGCCCCTTTAGTGATGGATGATAGTGAGATTGCACCATGAAGAAAAAAAGTACTCGATTAGTGTTTCTATTGACAGTCTATTTTTTTCAAAGCAAGTTCTGTAAAAGTTATTTTGTATAGGGTGGTGAGTTTGCAATATGCTTTCTGTTTTTAAGGAAGTAACCCGAAACAAAATAATTGTCGTTTTATGTTGAGAAGATATCGTTTTTCGTATTTGGTTTTAATTGAATAACCAACTTCAATTTAGATTAGTTTTTCTCAATTGTAAACACCCCAAGTTCAGTAAAATGAAAATAGGAGCAGAGCAAACATTCAATTAATTCAAACTATAGAAGTTAAGGTCTCTAGGGGTAAATAATTAACATTAAATCTGTTCATATATCTTTGTTACTCAATTTCAATTTGTCATGATCTATTTATCTTATAATTAGTTTTTGCATAACTTAATCATATCTTGGAATGAGCTAGGTTCTGTTGATTCTAGTGATAAGTAGAACATAAGAATGTTTTAAAAAGTTAACCGGCCTCACCGTTGATCATCCAGGAGCTGAATGTCTCCCTCTGAATTCAAAAGTATTGGGTTTCGATGGACCATACAGCTGTTGGCCTGTTGCAAAATAAATGAGTGTGACATTCTAGGGATGTGTACGTTCTCTGTTCTTACCAGAACAGTACCTTTTCTGTTGATGATGATCATAGGCAAGGAATCAGCCTCAACTTGAATTGAGTATAGCCAATCAGTTTTTGGCACTAGTATTTAATGCAAATCCGAAATACAGTTAATTTTCAAGATTTTTTTGGGTACAAAATCTCGCGAAAGCCCACAGGCACTAACTGCTTAAGAGTAATCTCAGACAAAGAGCATCAATAATTATTAAGGAGAGATGACAGACAGGATTTCTTGAAAGCGATGTGAAAACTGCATCATGTTTTACAGATACAAACTTTTCCTTGGGTCACTGCACACGCTCCAAAGAATGTTTTGAAACTCCATAATAATTACCTTGCTATTTATAACCAATAAAAGTACAGAAGTTAATATTGAAATTGAATATGTAACAAAGATGGATTCACCTTAAGGGAGAAAGAAGGTATTTTAGCTCATTATCTTAGGTATAACTGAGCTAAAATTTGTTCACTTTTAGGAAACAAATATAATCTATTGTACAAGAGGACGGTCTTTGAAAACAAAGGCAGGAGAATAATGCTTCTCATCTGCCAGTAATAAATTTCAAAACAAACATGGAAGTTAACCCCAAAGTATTATTACATGCCTAATTCTCCTATTTAAAAGGAATAAGAGCATAGTTATATTATATCTATTGCGATATCAACGAGAAATATAACTATTTCCATCATGTTGTAAAAAATTTCAAGATCTTCTTTCCTATGGAAACTTCACCGGGATGCTCCTCTCCCTCTTCCTCTTCTTCCTCCTCCTCCTCGTTATTATTTTCAACCTCGTAGATTGTGCTTCCATCTTCATCCCCATATTCGGGTGTACCATTTTCTTCCACGCGATCCACAGAGTTGGTTGCAGCACCATTGTCATCAATAATGTCTCTTGGTACTTCAAACTGTAAAAGTATATGTATAATAAATAGAATAGAACATATATCTAAAATTCCAATGAAATAAATGATCAAAACAGGAAGGCTGTTTTACCCTAACAACTCTATCATCTGAGAACAACTCCACAGTCTTTACTGTTGAGACCTGCACCTGAGATGTGGCTTGGACATTGTCTTCAGCTACTACTGATGAAGCTCCAATGACAACCTCAGGGCTTTTATCCACCTCCAGTTTACCGCCAGCAGCTTCTTTCTTCACACTCTTTGTTCCATTGGATAGGTCCTGTGTAGATGAAATCTTGCCTGCACTGCTCAAGACATGGCATGATATCATAACAATCATGAAAATTCTGACCACTACACTCAACTGAAACGACGCATGATGATGCTTGGTGCTAAATATACTATTACCAGCTACATACAGCCACATGCAGGATTTGCAATATAACAACCTTAACATTCTCTCACATTAATTCATAAGGCATCCAACAGTTATTTAATTCAGCTATTCACCTTCCTAATATTTCACACGTAAAATACTATTTATTATCAGGAAAGTATCCACCACAATATAGCCATGCAATTCCTTCATCAGATGAACCCCCCACCCCCCACCCCCAAAAAAAATAATATATATATATATATATATATATATATATATATATATATATATATATATATATATTTCAAACACTTTCAGTCAATTAATTTTTGAGCTATCTGAACCCAAAATAACTAAAATCAGCTAACCAAGATTGTGTGGCTTCAATTAAGACCATTTTCATAGTGACAATTAATTTTTGAGCTATCTGAACCCAAAATAACTAAAACCAGCTAACCGAGATTGTGTGGCTTCAATTAAGACCATTTTCATTTCAGTAAATCATTCTGAATAATCAAACATTAAATCAACGAATAAGAAGTCTCTCTAACCATTGAGCATTAGTAAAGAGAATGTTGTCATAGTCCCACATCTTTTCCTATTCCTAGTTTCAGTATATCACTATAATTATTGTAAATATTCTGTTTCCATAGATTAGTCAATATTTTAAGCAAGAAATTATTTAGTTCCGGAGAATTAGCTCTTTATTAGGAAAGCAATTATGCTCATTAGTCTATATATTGCAAAACTATGTACATGATTATAAAACCAAAAGCAATAATGTACAGATTGCCTCATATTTCTCCTGAGAGTTGACTTTAATTACCATACTACAGATCAGAAACTGCCATCTTAATAATAATTTTTATTAATATCTGAAAATTAGTGTCTCGGGCCATATATTAACGGGAAAATATTTTTGTTTACAACTTCTTACAACCATATCTTAACCGTTGATTTCCGTCAATCAACGGTTAAGATTTTCGCAAATCAAATTTATTAATTAATTATTAATTAACAATAAATGACAACCATTGATTGACGGAAATCAACAGTTAAGATATGGTTGTAAGAGTTTGTAAACTATTTGGGTTGTAAATATAACTCCTCCCTATATTAACATGATAATTAATTTAGCACTTAAGTGATTTATGCCAAAAAAGTTCATTTCATAACCACAATTTGACAATGACAATATTATATCATTCTTGCCATTATAGAAATGTACAAATCACATTTACTAATCAATAAACAGTTGGAAAGATCAATTGACATAGGAAATGATCTGATCTAATACTACATACAAGATGAAGCAACCTTGGTAACCACAATGACAAAATCAACCACCAGTGCAACAGATTGGCAAACCATAATTTTTCTTTATCCCATTTTGGAAAGGGGGAATGGGGGATGTCCATCAGTACGGAAGTCAACAAGAATCAATTTATTTCAAACATGTCACTCCATTAGAATTAATACAAATCTAAACATCAATACCCAAATGTATCTAGTTCACATCCAAGAAAATTATGCCCAATAAATAAACACAGCCAGCATAAGATAGAGTAAACTGTTATTGTTGCACATAAGGCCCTGAGACTGAACTTACGTCTTATGCCGCCTGAGATTGTATCGCTTCTCTCCAGTAACTTGTGCTGGTGGAGCAACCGTTTGCCTCTTCTTTCTGCGCCCACCGGCTGTAATACTATCCGAGTGTCCTTCACTATCACCAGTATTCGGCTCACTTTCTGTAATCCTAGAAGTATGTGCACGTTGCCGCTTCCTTCTAGCGTTACCAATGGCTTTCTCAGTGCGACTGGAGTCTTCTATACTGTCTTCATTGATACGATCAGTATTTAGAGACTGCAAACTTGCATTTTCTATTTCCTCTGAGGCTTTCCCTAAGAACTCCTTGGCCTCTTCAACAACAGCCTTCACTGATCGTGTTCTAGAAATTCCAGATTTGTTTTTCCTCCCAGGTCTGGGCCGACCAAGCTTTGGAACTGACTGCTGAGAATCATCTGGACATCCACCTACCATACTATCCACGTAGCTGTGATCATCTATGGATGGAGAGTGTTCATCATCCACCTCTCTAACAATATTATCAGATTGGAGATGCGGTGTGTCCAAAGAGGGACAAGCCACCCCACCTGCTAATTGTCTTTCTCCAAGAGTAACTCTAGCTCCTATATTAGGAAGAGATGCAGGCCCATCAACTTTTTCTGTATTAACATTCACATCTGACAGTGGCGATGTCCCAGCCATATCTGAAGCACTAACAGAATCTGTTCTTTTATTTGGGGATAAAATGAAAAACTTGGATGTGCATTTGCGGAGCCAAGACACAGGCCTTACAGATCCAGAATAGTTCAAGTCAGAGGCCGCTACATTGTCCTGGGAGTTCTTAAGAGGCCTATTATTCAGAACAGGGGAGGTAGGCGAGGAAATAACCACCCTTTCCTTACATTCAGGTAACTGAAGATCCGATACAACAAAGTCCCTAACAACTTCCCCACAGCCCTTGCAACTCCTTAGCTTCTCAACAAGTGCAAGGAAGTGTTTTCTTTCAGCCACAAGGCGTTCACGTTCCTTCTTAACCTTCTGGCTGAGATTCATAAGCATTTCAGAATCTTCATGCATCTCACGTTGGCCTGACTTCAGATGCTGCTTGTTTGACTCGAGTTCCTTCCTCTCATTCTCCAACCTAGTCCCCTCAGACTTCACCACTTCCCATTCTTTCTCAGTAACATCCTTCAAGACATTAATATTATTAAGCTCTCTTTCCATTTCCTCCTGAAATTTTCTCTCTCTTTCCTGCATGTCTTTCTCCATATCTTCCTGCCTCTTTTGGATTTCATTCTCAAGATTCCTTGTCTTCGATTCAAAATCTTGAAGCATTTGAGCCTTTTCATTTTTCACCTTTTCAGATAAAAGAAGTTCCTCTTGCTTCATTGAATCTTTAAATGATTCCTTCTCCAATTCAAGCTTCTCCAGCTCTTTCTTTATATGATCTTGCATGTCTTGTTCCTGTCTTTTCAACCTTTCTTCTTCAGTGTGCAGCAATTTTCTTAACCTTTCTCTCTCCACATCAATTTCATGCTGCTCTCTACTAATTTCAGCTCTTTTCTCATCCAGCACTTCCCACTCTTTCTCAAACCTCTGTCTCTCCTCCCTTAAGTTTTCAGCTTCCTTAATAAGAAAATCCTTCTGCGATCTGGTATGTTCTATCTCCTGTTTTAGTTCCAATTGCAAACGAGAATGCTCTGACCTCTCATCTTCAGTAACCTTCAAATTCTCACTCTCTTGCCATATTTGCAGCTCTTGTTGAGAAATCTCAGCTTTTATCTTCCCAAGTTCAACATTCAAATTCTCAAGACTCTCTCGATCAGCAAGCAATTGTTGTTTTTCCTTCTCCAACTCTTTTTCTTTGATTTTCATATTCTTTTCTTTCTCCTTTAAAGATTTCAATTTTGCTTCAAGTTCCTTATTTTGCTCCTTTATTCTCTCAGCCTTCTTGCTCAAAGCCTGCTCTTCTTTTCCAACCTTCTTTTCCCTGTGGTTGACTTCGGCTTCCATCTGTTCCAGCGCTTCCTTCTTGCTGCTGAACTCCTCAACGAGGGATTTCCGCTTTTGTTCCATTTCCAGCTCAAACTGCTGCATCTTTAAATCCAGAGTATCTTTTTGTTCACCAAGGAGCTTCTGGATCCCCTCCTTTAAGAACCACAGGCACAACAGTCAGAATGCAATTAAATCAGGTAAATTGCTCAAGTCATTCAAGTTAAGAACCCTTGTGCTCACAGAACACATTATATGTCACAGGCCTACGGGTTTATATGGTAATTTCCTATTTCCAATTTATTTCCCTACTTCAACTTTGCAAAAAATTTCTCTGTTCACAAAGTTGTCATTTCCAAAAGTAAACTTTAAAAAAGTAAATTACCATATCAACCATAAAGGCATTCAGTTAAGACTTAAGTTCATGCTGCACAATTTAAGCTATCATATTCTAATATATAATGCCAAAACTTGGCTTCGGCATTTGGTCTCTTCCTATGATGCAACTTTATCCTTAAAAGTAGTAAGTTCTCATTAGTGGGAAAGTTATTCTAATCTTTCCTTTGCCTTTAAAAATATATTAAAAATAAAATAAAATAGATTGACAAGAAGGTAGACAGGTACTTAATTCAAAATTTTAAAATTCTTCAAATTTTATTATTAAATAGATTAAATAAAAGGCTCGAGATGCTAGTATTAAAGTTATCAGTTTTTATAACATTACAGCCAAAGTGATTAACTGTAAGCTAATGTCAGCTTGGGGCAGCATATTATGATAAGGAAATTAAAAGAAGCCATAGTCCTAGAAGCATTCATTCTTTCTTAACTGAGTTTACCCTATGTTCTTGTAAAGAAATGTTCAAATATCTTGTCATCCTACTCCCATTCCTATAGCTAAGCAAGGCCAAAAGCAGAAACATCATGTTTAGTATCTAGAAATCTAAATATTTCAAGATGATGCGTGAATACCTGAGGATTTGTATGATTTTATCTCAACATGTTTTGATATCACTCCTAGTCAAAATGGCTTAAGCAATTATAAATTTATCTATCATACAGTCTTTTCATGCAAACAACTTTGCACAACATTCTATTGTATAGTAAAGTTACCAGGCGCCTGGACTCACACTTTCTCTAGCACTAAGTTTAAGTTCCAGTGCAAGTAATTCTTTCTCTTTCATCTCCAGCATGAGCTTTAAAGAATCCACTTTCTGCAACCATAAACACAACACGCAAATAATGGAAAGGGCCACATCAAAGAAACTAGATATTACGAGGAAAAAAGAGAACAAAAAAAAATCACTAAGACACTATAATAAAGTATAAAACACACCTTCTCTTCCACAACTAAATCTGCTACTCTTCTGCTTATCTCAGCTTCCTTTTCTTTCAATAAAGAATTAGATGAATCGATATTCCTCTCCAACACTTCTAGATCTCTCTCTCTCTGCTTCAGGTTCTTCTCAGCTTCAATTGACATTTCCTCTCGCTCACCAAGATTTAGCCTACCATCACAAAGCATATCTTCTCTTTGCCGTAGCTTCCTCTCCCACTCCTTCAAATCTTCCCTTTCTTTGTAGAATGTTGCCTCAAATGATTCTCGACTGTAATGGGAGCACAATACCAATTTAATAAGTTTAGTCACATAGCCAAGAGTTAACATAAAATGGTGACTGGGAACATTCATAAAATATAGAGCTAGTGCATACTCGGCAGCTATTGACAAACGTTCCTTTTGAACCAAACTTTCACGAAACTCCACCTCTCGCAATTTCGTATCCAGCTCTGCTCTTTCTCTGTTTACCTCGGCAAGCGTAGCTTCTGCATCATGCAGTTTCTTGTTCACCGCCGAAGACTTCTCTTCAATTCCATCAACCAATGCATTTGCTTCAGCTAGCTTTGTATGGGAGGAAGACTGGACTTGGGTATGCTCTTCTTGCATTGCACGCAAAGCTCTCTCAAGCTGCAATTGATACATTTCCACAACATCAGCATTAAATAAAAGAACATCTAAACAGACATCTTAGGTGGACAACCTGAACAACACGAGGGCAACACACAAATATCCTACAAATCTTGTCATAAAATTGGATTAGAAACAAATTGGAAAAGCATTGAACAACATGAAGAACTATAAGGAAAGACCAACATGTCTCTAGGTGACAAATTTAACATTCCTGCACTTTTCATTCAAGTTCAACTATTAAGATAGCAAAGGCATACACAGTGCTTAGATGACAAGCCTTAAGAGTAAGAAATAAGAAACGTATGATGCTACTTTTACATAATTACAGGATCCTTTGAAAAGGCGGAACTACAAGGATCATATGCTCCTACCATCATACAGAAAGTATGATGAATACCAGGGCTATAGCTAAAAAATTTATAAAGGAGAGAGAGAGAGAGAGAGAGAGAGAGAGGAGTTTTCACATGTACTGCATAACATTCAAAATTAAAATTAAATTCTCATAATTATGATTCGGGTAATGGTATTAAAATTAATACTAATTATGCAGCTGGGCCCCAGAAAGACACATCCTAATGATATTTGCAGGCCACATAATTGGAGAAGATACAAGGGAGACGTCCAACAACCTGTTAATTGGTTATAACAGTGTGCCAACAATATATGTGGGCTAGATATGCATGAATCGTGGAGAGAGTTTAATTCATGATGCTTGAAGGTAATGCATAACAATGTATTATACTTGGATTGACTATCATATTAAACATAAAGAAATGCATAAGATGGATGGGAATAAAGTAGCATAATGTGCTTAACAAGTCTCATCAAATCCAAACAATTGAGTAGAAAATCACTGGCTACCCACAATACATATACTTTGCATTTCAAGATGATTATAACAGACAGAATGTATTAGGTCAGCTATTAACTTTTAAACGATCACAAGTATACCACTGATACTAGTCAATTAAATATGCATATATCCTACAATAACGAATTTCAAGTAAAAGAGGAAAGTGAGCCAGAGAGGCAAAAGTTATAGCCCAGCCTCAGCCCTATGATCAACTCTTCCAAAACTACTCAAAGTAAGAACAAAGACAGCATAGAAAGAGAAGCGATGTAAGCATGTACAGACAAATTTAACACAATCATAAACTTGAATAAAGAAACAAGGAGAGAGCATACATCAGCCCCACACTGCTTCTCCGTGTTCAATGCTTTCCTCAAATTTTCCTCTCTCTTCTCGACTTCAGATAATGCAATTAAATGTGCTGACTGTTGTCGTTTTAGAATCTCCTCAGTTTCAGCTAATTCTTGTCTCAGCTGATCAAACTTCGAACTCCATTCTTTCTTCTCAATCAACAGGAGGCCCATATTGTACTGGTAGTCAAAAAGCTATCCCAAAAAATGAAAGAAACCAAAGAGTTCACCAATGGTCAATCATCACTGAGATAACAAATGGTTTCCACAAGAACATGATTTTACAAATTACAATATCATTCAACAAACACAACATTGGGACATCCAGCAGCCATGAAAATTTTATAAATTATAACGCAAAGACAAACAAAGAGTTAATTAATTGGTCAATTAGATATATTCTTATATTTCTTTTTATATTTAGTCTATAAGTATAGTTATAGAAAATTAGAAATCACACAACTCACGATTTGAATTGCACGATTCAATACAATTTGTCAGGCCAACAATTTGTGCCACGTGATGAATCAAAGATGACTTTGAATTGTACAATATGCATCCTATTTGACTATTCCACTGCTCAGTTTTCATTCTTCTGAAACAAAGGCTTCACACAATCACCCGCTTATTCTATATGCACATTATTTCGCTAATCATTACTCTATTTTCGTTCTTTTGAAACATAAGCTTCATGCAGTCACTTTGTGTGATCCAATTATGACTTCCGACATATGATTTTGTTTTTTGAGACTTATGGTTAAGTAATTTTGTCAATTTCTAGTTCTTAGTTTAATATCATTTCATTGTGCATTAAAAATCATTAATAGAATATATTTCAAGCTATTTTTCATTATGTTTCCGAATCTTACGATTCAATATGATTTACAATTCATGATTTGAATTGCGATTTAATAACCTTGGTATAAAGTAATAATACTTGTTTAGCTTTCATTACGATACCATGACAACGTTTGCATAACAAGTAGCTTTTAATGAATTTCAATCACCAAGTTTAGATGAAAGTAATTGAAATTAAGAGCCAGAATTACGGAGCCAATATAAACCTGGTATACAAAGACATGAATCACCTTATTCTTATTGCAGAAGTAAGATGTTTCTCAACCTTAAATTTATCATTTGACTCCAGCTTCAATCTTGAAAATTAAAATTTAATATTATTTTTCTAGAGCAATTTATGTTTACACTTTTTACTTTCTCCCCAGCCCTGTCAAAAAAATCATTTAATATTAAGTCTGTTGTTGACCTAGTAACCAAATTTACAGAAAAAATTGTGACATAAACAGGATCATAATTATACACAAAATGCAGAAACAGAGAGGTATATATCTCCTATCCTGACCTGATAGAAAGGTGATATCAGATCAGTGTGGTCCAGTAAGTGTATACAAGTATAAAACTCTCAGAAAATGACAAGAAAACACAAGGATAACTCAGGCTTCAAGAGGCATGGTTCTCACCCACCAACTCCCTCGCTCACGCCTATCATACCCTCTCTCTCTCTTCCATCCTTATTATCTTCTGCTGATGCTTTTATCCCTGTAGAAGCCCTTTTGTGCATTTCCCACAAAAAACAATATAATTCTTTTCTAAATACCGGATAGGTCGCTGACAAAGGCTTGAAATTTTATGCATATATGAAAACGTTTAACTGTTTCTATTCTACCTGTTTATGGACCATCCAAATCCAAAAAATATGTCACAATTTCAATCCCCGTGTCATCCATTTAGATGCAATAGCAGAAAGTGCATTGACTTCATTATTCTATTAACTGTAATGCTTCTATCCATATATATATATATTTTTCTAGGCACCCAAACTCATTCACTCTTACAAGTAACAACTTCCTGCTAGTAAAATCAATCAAAGAGTCCCTTTCTCTAAATCATAGTACCATGTCACTATTCAACATATTAGTGAGCAACGGCAACTATCTATTAAAACTAATCAATCATGAATACCCCAGTGCCCAACCCATACTCTAATTTGCACAAAAAATGTGAAAAATAACTAGAAATTAAAACAACAAAATTTATCTTTAAAAGTTAAAACAACAGAACAATTATAAACTTAACATAAACCAATTGAATCAAACGAACCCTAGAAAAGCGTTTCAAACCAACAATTACTAATTGCCATATATCTTCATCAAACTAACCTCTTTTTCGAGCCTCGAGACCTTCCCGAAGTGCGCTTCCTGGTCCTTCCTCTGCATCACCGCCTCATCCAGCAACCCAACCTCCTTGAACTTCTTCCAGTCCTCAACGTTCCCCGCGTCGAACCCCACCGTCGCCTCCCGGGCGGTTTCACTCAGAAACCCCAACGGCGGCGGCGGGTCATCGGCGACGGCGACGGCCTTTCCCTTCGCGGAGGGCGCGAGGTTGGAACTCGTCCCTGCACCGCCTCGGCTCGGCGTGAAGGCGGCCACCGCCGTGGGCCACGCCTTCCTCTGCGGCGTGAACATCGTTCTGTTGATGCAATGGAATATCGCCGGAAATTTGCCCCAAGAATTGAACGCCGGTGAGGGTTTCGCCGGAAAAAAAAGAGAGAGGGAGAGGGATATATTTTGGGTGGTATGTGAAGTGTGAAATTTTGGAAAACAAGGGTTTAGGATTTGGGTTAATTTTTTGCGAGGAGAGCTCTCGTCCCTTTGTGTCGTTTAACTATTGGGGGAAGGGAGTTAATTTGTGAAAATAAACATGTAAAATTTCGACAAAAGGAGTTTAACCATGGGGTTACTATAGTTAATTTAGGTATTGAAAATGTTAATTAATGAAAAAGAAATTACTATAATTAATATTTGTAATATTTTTAGATCCAAGTAATTTTTTTTTACATTTTAAAAAATTAATTTATCTGTTACTAAATTGAATTGAAAAGAAAGTACAGTTATTATTATTAAATAAATCATTTATTAATCTAATGAGTATTCATAAAAAATATATATATATATATTTTTGCAAAACCAAAACAACTTATCTTCAGCATAGCAATATTTCTATGCTTAAAAAGAAAATTTGAAGAAAAAGTAAAAAATATAGGATGGGTTATATTTATAATTATTTTCTTATCTTCGGATTAAAATTAAACGAATGACTCTCGCTTAATATTATTTTATAACTGTTAATTTAATTTTAATTAAAAATTAAAAAATGATTATAAGAATTTGTAAGTAAACATATTTTGTGTATATAATCTTCTTCAAAAATAAAATAATATAAAATTCAATGCATCTTAACATCAATTCTATCCAATATGACAATAAAAAAATTTCTCATCACTTCTTATTGTCAATTTATGCATCTTAATAAAAATGACGACATTATTTTCTTTTTATTTTAGCATTTTCTACACTCAAACAGAAAGAAGGGGAAAAAATTATTACCCCTTAGCAAAACTTTTGCATAAAATAAAGAAGAAAGACATCTCTTATCTAATAAAATTTTCTTTTTCATCGAATTTTTTTTTTTTTATCATCATGCAATTGCTTGCACTTCTTACTAAAACTAAAGAAATGAAAAATAAATAAAAAATACTGATTTTGTTGCAACATAAATAAAATTTTCTCTCTTTCAATGCTTCTTCATAGCATTCATTTCTTCATAAAGAAATTGAACCTTGTGCTTACAAAGAAAATGAATAGTAATCAACCTGGGTTCAAGAGTCTAAAGAAGTGGTTTGGAGAAATCTAGACTAGGCTAGATAAGGAGACTTGAAGAGGCTAAGAGAAGAATATATACAAAGGATTCAATTGAGGCTTTACGAAACTGGGGTGTTTGGTTTAGGGTAAATTTTATGAATAATAGGAAAATGTGATATACAGGGAAATGGTTGGAAAGTGAAATAGGTAGAAAAATGTAAAAAAATATTGTTTAGTTGGAAAAAAATTTACCGGGAAAATTAGGTAACTTTTTTAAAATCTATATTTGGTTGTAGGTAAAATATAGATGGGAAAATTAAGTAAGTTTACAAAAATAACCCTGTTTGTACAATATTTTTACGGTGGCATGCTATCAGTGCAAGTCTAATCCCAACTTTTACGGTGGCATGCTCGTCTTTGGTTCATTAAGCGGTGTGAGAAATTGTCTTGCTTTTTGGCAATACCACCTACAAAAAGGAGTTCCTTGGCCGGCTTTTTGAGCACAAAATGCTATGCATCTACGTTTCCTATGCATCTACGGTAGGTGACTAAATCAGGAAGGACAACGAACCAAACGCAGTGTTCTTAATTTCCCACTTGTGATATATCCTAGGAAGCACCGACACTTCAAAAACTCTGACGTGTCGTGTCCGACACTCCCCGACACTCCAACACGCGTTATATAAATTCAAAAAAGTTCAAAGGTTGCGTTGCATTGAGTTTTTAGTTCCAACTATTAGATTCGTTGGATTACAATTACCATTTAATATAAATATTTAGGATATCTTATGTTTCTTTGCAAAATTGATGAATATTTTAAGTTTAATTTTATTTTTTTGTTAAATTATTGAATATTAAATATAAGAGTGAATACCCATTTTAGTCCCTGAAAATATTTGCGAAGCACAATTTAGTCTCTCGGTTTAAAAAAGTCACATTTCAGTGTTTCATTTTTTAAAAAAAAGGGACACGTTTATCCTTCTGTTAAGTGGAAAGTGACGGCCCTGTTGACGGACGCCACCTGGAACGTTAAGTGGCTGAGTCACTAACGTCCTGCCCACGTGGAGAGAAAACGACGTCGTATTGATAGCTGCCTTATGTCTAGTTGGATGTTTGGACATGTGACCGTTGCATGAAAGGGTGAGTGACCCAATATAGTTCCTGTCAAATTTAGAACCCTAAATCAACTTAAGAATAAAAAAAAAAAACCAAAACACATTTTGTTGAAGATTGAATAGAGTGTCAAGTAGAAGGTGTTTACTGGCTATTTTCTGGTGCGTAGAAGAAGATGACTATGTTATCTGGCTTGGGGGAACAAGTTTTCTGGTGCATTTGGGAGTAGAACAACCTGACGGAATTTTGGACGAAGGTGCAAGATGTTGTTCAGCAAGATCTGAGTATGAAGGTGTAGGAAAGAAAGTTGTGATGATTGCAATGGTTGTAACAATGAAATGCATTGTACGAAATGTAGTTTTTCTTGAATGAAATTGAATGACTTGTTGACCACTGTGATGAATAATGTTGAGAAGATGCACTTTTGGTCCCTGGATATTGGAGCCTAATGATATAAACTAGAACCCAATTTAGTCCCTGGATTTTTTATCGAGGGCCAATTAGGTCCTTGAAAAAATATATCGGGGCACTTTTTGGTCCCTGACAGTTAAAATTTGGACATGACCTGTTTAGACTAAATTGGACACAAGTTGCAATTCAAAAGTTGTTCATCACAAAGACATAATGCAGCAATTCAAAAATCAGCAAGCTGCAGCAATTCAAAAGCTGCAATTCATACAAGCTGCAATCCAAAAATTGGACATGAACACATTGCATTCAAATTTGTCCAAACAGCAACGACCAAACAGTACCCAGAATTGGACCACCTGCATTGTAGCCAGAATAAAAAAGATTCATACACAAATTAACAAATCAGCATACAGATACAGCTTGCAGCAATGGGAAACAACTGATATAAAAAAAGGAAGTTGTAGTCATTCATAATGGAACTTGTAGTCAGTTACAATTGCATACCCTTCCATCATAATTAAAGGCTTGTCAAAAAACAGAACCTATGATGGGCACCAAAACCATTCTAAAACATCCATTTCATACACAAAAAACAGAACCTATGATGGGCACTAGAACCTATGGGGGTACCAAAAAATACAGTCATGAACATTGTTGCCTATACAACAAAAAGTGAACCCCTATACAAAAAAACTGTATCCAAGCATGATTCAAGCTGGTCTTGGTGGCCTAAACCCAGGTGTGGCCATGAAAGCCATAAGCCTGCTCCTTGTGCAACTGCTTGTTGCATTGATAGTTTCAGTTTACAATTGTTCTGCTGGTGGTGGGGCTGTAGGTGGTGGGCTATTGCCCCTAGTGGCTTTCCTTTGTCATCCACTCATAAGTCAGCTTTCCTTTGTCATTCCTAACCAACACACCTCCATCATGATATCTTATAACTATATAATCTTCCATCTGCATACAAAACAGAACATAATCATTTTTTACACTACCATCATATTAATTTACAATATCATACAAGTAATCACTACTTAACAAATTAATTGGGGCTTTTTTAATGGCTGCATAAAACTAATTCCACGACACTGTCATAAATAAATTTGGGGCTTTTTTGGTAATCACTACACACACCAACTTAAAATAACAAATGGGGGACCACATGCAACAAGTTCCAAAAAGATTCAACCAAAGGCAACAAGAGGGACCGCAGATAATAAACAAAGAAACGAATTTCACGTACCTTGCACGACAATAACCAGAGTCACAACCGTTTAACGATCTCTTCAACCTAAACCACACTATTTCCACAAGCTTCCAACTGCAGAAGCCACGTACAACAACAAACCACCGTGGGTCACCAACCTTCACCGCAACTGAAGCTCATGAGCTGAGGAAATGGGGGAGGAAATGGCGGGTATGGACGACTTGTGTGACTGTGTCAACTGAGTCAACAACAGGTTTAGATCAACTCACATGCCATTCCTCAAACGACGTAGTTCCCTTTCTGAAATACCTGATACAACCTTCCAATGTAAAACGACGTCGTTCCTTTCTCTCCACGTGGACAGGACATTAGTGACTCAGCCACTTAACGTTCCAGGTGACGTCCGTCAACAAGGCCGTCACTTTCCACTTAACAGAAGGATAAACGTGTCCCTTTTTTTTCAAAAATGAAACACTGAAATGTGACTTTTTTAAACCGATGGACTAAATTGTGCTTCGCAAATATTTTCAGGGACTAAAAAGGGTATTCACTCTAAATATAATATACACTACATAAATTAAAAATATTATTTGATATCAAAATGTGTCATAACGTGTCAAAATCTAATATTTTTTAGAATTTACGTGTCGGAGTGTCGTGTCGTATCGTGTCACGTGTCCCGTGTCCCGTGTCGGTATCGATGCTACATAGAATATATCTATCATTGTGAACATTTACCCTAAACCAAACACCGAGTAGTTCATGGAACAACTGCAAGCATTAATGGGATAATAATTGCTCCCGAAGCAATGATTCACCATATAATTTTACAAGTGTTAATCCAAATGGGGGGCAACTGTTTAGGTTAGTCATGGGTAGTCAAAAAATGTTCAACTTACTAGTCATTCAAATAGAGTAAGAGAATAACAAGACGAGGGAAACCTAGTTACTTCAAAGAAATAATTATGGTTGGTATAGTATAAAAAAAAAAAGAAAAAAAAGAGAAAGAATGATAAGATGAGTGAAGAAAGACTAACAAAAATAAAAGACCAAATCAAAGTAATCCAGGGTTCCAACATCTATTGTTTTGAACAAATTGATGACCTATTGGAAATAAACATCCCCAAGGACTCATACAACTTCATTTATCTTCATTTAAAAATGAAAGAAATCATACTACTACATTGGAATCCAATCACTTTACTCACTAAAAACCACTCTCAAAATCCCCATAGCCCCGAACCAAGTTTGAAAAATTCAATAAAGGCAGCAAACTTGGAAATTACGTAATCCATTACCCTTCTTTGCACATCAATGCCAAACATATTAATCAAAATTACATAAGCAATAAATTGAAGCCCCAACACAATAATGTCCAAGTTAAACTCTAAGCAAGTAAATGCTGAGCTCAGGACCCCCACTACCATCTGGGTTCATCATGTAGAAGGCTTCATAGTCCTTAGACCCCACAACCCTCTCATACTTGGCTCTCATGTACATGAGTTCACCTTCTAACCCAGATCCATTACCACTACCTAACATTGGTAACACACCAGCACCCATTGAAATAGTCTCCACTGATTTCAATATCTTCCACTCCTCTGGCCCACACTCACGCTTATTTGCATACCCACATTTCCTTCCATTGCAATAAGTTTTCCAAAGGGGTTCCTCTAGCAACTTCACACCCTTGGTCGACCCTGCCTTATTCTCACACTCCAATGCAATTCTGACCAACCCAGAAGCCATTTCCTTGACCAAAACACTTGTTGGAGTTGCTAGCTCGATCAAGAATGCAGGGCTCAACTTGGGGTCAGCTTGGAATGCAAAATGAGCATGCCCACGACGGTAGCCAAAAAGGGTACCCACCACACGTGTGCCTAAGCCAGAGTTGTGAAGTGAACGACTCTTACTGAACACAGTTATAATTGACTTGAACTTGGACTTCCAAAACTTATTCTTTTCAACAAGTTCTGGTGGCATTTGGATTCTGAGGTGGTGATGATCCTCGTTTTTCTCATCATCATCTTCATGGAAATGTGAGGATGAGTTTATGTGAACTGAACGACTCCTATTCAACACAGTCAGAGGTGACTTGAACTTGGACTTTGAATGCTGCTTCTTTTCCATTGGCACAACAGCACCGAGTTGTGCTTCCATTTGGATTCTGAGATGATGATCTTTTTGTTTCTCATCATCCATATGGAAATGTGAGGATAAACTGATGTTCTCTATTTCTTCCAGCTCATCTTCCTCATCCAAAGCTTTCTTTTTCAAATGGAAATACCTCCTGGAGAAGGAGAAAGAATTGTCATGGAGGGATTTGGCTGCCATGATAGTCTTCATCTATGATACAAAAGAAAGAACGTGGAAAAGAAAAACTTCTCACAAAGTTGGGTTTTTTTATGAGTTACATGAGGATCAAGAACGAAGGAGAATAACAACAGAAAATTTTGCAAAGGAATCATTAATTAAATTAGGTGTTTGGTACGGGTATTTTAGTTGGATGCTGGGAAAGTGGGGCAGGAATATTTATTTACAAGTATAAAGAATGTGAATGAAATGCTAGTAATTTTTTTTGCATCATTTCCTTTTTGAATTACGTAAAGTTAAAAAATTATCTCATCTAGGATATGGTATTTTTTTTTCTCCGTTATCTCGTATTCTGAATATAACTTTTTGAGACAAAATTATCCTGATGAACTATATGACTGCATGAGTATTTTGGTAATTTTAATTCACATTCTTATCAATATTTTATTATCAATCAAAAGTTTTTCATAACTTACGTGGGATAAAAAAATTTCTACCAAATCCCCAACAATCATTTTTGTCCTGATAAAAAAAATAATCACATACCAAACATCCCAAATTACAATAAAAAAAGTATCATTTAAATAACTTTTTATTGGGATTAATATTTTTCATATTATTGGAAATAATATATGAGATCCATGTGCAGTGATGTGAAGAGAAGAGAGAAAAGATGAGCTACACATTTTTATATATGTATAAGAAATAAAATTATCTCTATAACATAAAAAAATATTAATTTTTTTTTCATTGAGAGACTGCATTTTTTTTCTAATGGAGTTATTATAGGACATCCTGCAACTTATTTTTAACTATCTACTCCCGGAGTATATTGTTGTAATATTAAAATTTATTTTGTTAATTATGTATATATATAGTTAAAAAAAAGTTCCAATAAAATGATTTTTATATTTTCCTTATATAATTGTTAGTTTACTATTCAGTATTTTATATAAAATTTAAAAATATATATGCTTAATTATAACTGATTCAATGACAATTAAACTAATAAATTGTAAGTTATTATTTCTAATTGAATGAAGGGTTCATGACATAGGTTTGACTCTTAGAATAGCGTGAGATGTGAAAGAAAAACAAATCACAAGGCTTACTTGTCTGTTGGGAGTCACATGCAGTTGTTTATCGATTAGTTCTCGTTCGGTGGTGGGAGCGGCAAAATTAATTGGTTAAAAGAGTTGAAAATATGGTAATATATGAGAAGAAATAATATTTTAAATATTTTTAAATACTATTTATGTAAATATGATTATTGATATTTACGACGCGTGCTGTTACAGATGTCTTTTATAAGTTTCATTCGTGTCTTAGAATTTAAAAGTGAGCCAAATTGTCAATCACGTTAGTAGTATTTGTCTAGCGGGAACATAAATAATTTTTGAAGACTGCTAACCCTATTTTTAATTTTTACAACTCTCATTTTATTGCAAAGTGAAAATATTTATAAGTTTGTTCAATGAAAGTTAAAAACACAATATACATAAACTAATTAAACTGATTAATTATAATCAATTAATAAACAAAATGATTTTTTAATTTTTTAAAAGATTAAACAATTGCAAAGTGAACATATTTAAAAATCTGTTCAATGAATTTAATATATATTATTATTAGTTCGAATGATCAGCTATACTCAATTATAAAACAAAATAGATATATTTTAAATTTGAAAATATTATTTTATTATAAAAATAAAATATTTATGAATATGTTCACTTTAATTTATTTATTTTTAAAAAGTATGTATAGACGAATTGAATTGCTCAACTATACTCAATTATTAAAAAAGAAAATCTTATTTTTTAGATACATAATTTTCTTTTTATCAAATTCAACTTCTTGTGTATATCCTACTTATGATATAGTTTTGCATCCAGCAATCGGGCTACCGAGGGCCTCCTGACTTTTGTGTATTATAATTGCAAAAGGTTCGTCCCGTAAACAAGTTGATAGGGCCATTCTTCTCCATTATGGGCCGACATTTGAATAGTAACAAACAACGGTTAAGAAATGATATAAAATAATATATGTATTCATCCATGATTTTAGGAGAATTGATTCTATCAAATTGCGTCAAAAACTTTATCATCTCGAGTTTGATACTTGATGTTCCATTTTTATAATAAAAATTTTCAGCATTCATGCTTCAATCCAAAAAAAAAGCTCTTGGTGAAATGAGCCTAGACACATGTATGGTTTGGTTTGATTTTTTATATTGAACTGAATCAAATCAGAAAAGTGATTTGGTTTGAATAAATTAAATCGGTTTTAAAAAGTGATTCGATTCTTAAATTGATTTAAAAAAAAATATGATGCAATTTAGTTTAATTCATTTGATTTTTTATAGTCTGAAGAGTGGATATAATATGTTTATTAACCCGAAACAAATCAACTGAATTGGTAAGTGGTTCAGTTTTTGAACTGTTTTCGAAAAAAATATTCGGTTCCTAAATCAATTAAAAAAAACATGTGATTCTTTTGGTACAACATGGATACAGCTCAATTCAATTCCTTTAATTTTTTTCACACATTTAAATGAGTCTCTAAATTATTCATGTTTCAATTCCTAAAAATAACTTTTATTAGTGCAGTAACACATATATTATTCACACTTCAATTCTCTAAAGGATGTATTGGATTAAGATTTTAAAAGATTTTTTTGAGATAAAAAATCTAATAGATGTTAAAAGACTATTTAGAATAGGAAGAACTTTAAAGACTTTTTTAAAAGATATTTTTTACAACCAAAATTTCATAAGATTGAATTTTAAAAGATTTTATTAGAATTTATGAGATTTAAAAGGACAATATGAATTTATAAGATTTTAAAAAATCATATGAATTTTTAACAAACATTCAAAATTACAAGAGTCAATAAAAAAAATAACAAAGAAATGTAATGATATTAATAAAAAAAGTAAAACCTAATATAATTTTCTCAATCAGTAAAATTCGTGATAAAATTTTGTTTGAAATTTTTTGCAATTGATCTATTAAATCTTGGGATTTTTGTTCTACGTGATGAGAGTTTTCTAACCATATTTTATATGCATGTTTTCATTGCGTATTCCAAGAAAATTTTGAATCTGAATTTATGAATTTTTTTACTTGAAAGTTTAAAAAATTTCTCAAATTATTTTCAATCGATACATTGAAACATTAAATTACTTTGGGGCTTCTGAAAAATAAGTTTTTAGTGATCTATTGACACAAAAATTGTTTGAAGTCATTTCCTATAGTAGAGGAATTTCGTTCATGAATGTATGAATATATTGCTATTAAACATAAGGTTCATATTATAAAAGTTTCAATATTTCTTTAAATTGATATTGTTCTATTGATTTAGAACGAAAAATGGTTTGGGAGTTTTTTTTCCTTTGTTGTTTTCCTCTGTTATATGTTATTTTTAACACAAGAATTATAGATTTTTGTGCCAAGAAAAATCGCAATCACTAGTTTGAAAAATCATTTTTAAACTCTCAAAAATTCTTAAAAATTGTTCAAAAATCTGCTGTTTTTGAGATGTATTAGATTAAAATCTTATTGGGTTGTTGAATCTGAATTATTTTGTGATGAAAATCGCTCAAATCTATTGTTTTTGAGCTTTGATGAAGCTTCTATGGCGGAATCCGATTTCAAGCAAGTTGACTCGCCAAAGGAAGAAGAAAACACTGCAATAGATAAATCTCAAGAAATCCTACGAGTTAGGATGAGATTGTGAGAGAAGCATCCATTTATATTTTTCACTAAAAAGCCTCACGAAATTCTCACCAATAGAAAATTCATTAAAATCGTTAGATTTTTGAATACACAAGATTATTTTTTCTTTGTTTAAAATCCTGATAGAATACCAATGGATTTGGACGGATTCTAAAATAATCTTTTAAAATCCTAATCGAATACCATATGATTTTTTTTAATCATTTAAAATTCTAATTGAATACCAATGAATTTTTTTATCCAAAAATAATTTATTACACCCCCTAAATCTATTGAAATGCCTGATTCGTCTAATAAAATATTTAATTTTCATGCTTCAATACTTAAAAAGAAGTTTTAGTGTGTCCCGCAAATGATCTATATGTTTTAATAAAGGATTTAATATTTTTATTTTTGCTGCATAAAAACTTTTTTTTTCACATTAAAGTAAATGGATATCACAATAAAGAGAAGAGAATTTTTTTATTTTTTTAATAAAACTCATTCACTTTTATTTAAATGTGACAGAAAAATTATTTTTATAATAAAATTAGAAACATTTTTCTCTTTAATAAATACATGGCCTGAAACAACATCCTTATAAACATCTATTGAAAATCGAGTTTTCATAAAAAAAATAAAAAAGATATCGTTCGTACTTCATTACATCTGGAAATGCAGAATAACGTGACCCGTCTGGAGCTTGGATTATCGGTTTCTGCAAGAATTTGGGGCCAGGTACTGTTTTGCATGCAAAATTATGGGCTTGTTTGGAAGGTTTGCGTTTAGCTTGGGAAAAAGGATTTAGAAAAGTGTGGCTGGAAGGAGATTCCCTCTCAGCCCAACAGATTATTTCTAATGGGTGTCATCAGGATCACCCTTCGTCGAGCTTGGTGCAACGTATTAGAGGAATGTTGCAAAGATGCTGGCAGGTGCAGATTTCTCATGTTCATCGTGAAGGAAACAAAGTAGCTGATTTCTTAGCTTCACATGCGTATAGCTTTTCATGGGATGTGCAAGTCTTTGATGACCCTCCTCCTGGCTGTCTTCAAAGTTTATACAGCGACACTGTAGGTGTTCGCTGGGCTAGGTTCTGTACTTAGGCATTTTTGTTGTGTTTTTCATTTCCATTATCTTTCAAAAAAAAAGAAAAAAAGAAATGCAGAATAACTATAACACATTGTCTGATGAATCATGACGATAATTCATTTCAACTATAATTGTTTTTAATAAGTAATTTGCATATAGAATATATTAAATGCTGACATATGATAAAACATATGTCAACGTACACACAGTCATAC